GTTTTTTGCATTATTTTTTACAGTGAGTTTCCTGAGAGCACCAGGGGTGCTTAGGCAATCTGGTGGTGTACCAGAGAAGAGCTGTTGCAGGTGTCCGGTGGGGTGGGGGGTAGCTGTTTGAATTCTGTTGGGTAAAGTAGGCCTATACCTATATTTTTCGTCTACTATTTATCATAAATAATGTTTAATTTATTTCTAATAGTTTTGCTAAAATATTTTGATATACAAAAAAAATTGGCAGCCAGGGTATTAATAGTAACAGATTATAATATGAATAGAAATGGCAAGAATAAAAGGGAAAGAATGTCAAATTAATCTGTCATAAAATTTTGATCTTTGAAAAAAAAAAAAAAGAATTGGAATGATGCCAATGGTATTATGAGGTTCTTAGAAGATAGCATGAAAGATGACACACTGAAAGTTCTTTTTTTTTGCAGAGGATATTTCGAAAACCAACTCAAATTTGCGTGGAAAGTAACTAGGAATTGTATTTGTTTTACATTTTTACATTTGTACATTATGAGATAGGCCAATGCCTAATTTTTACCAGAAATTGCGCGGAAATCGGTGTTTATTTTCCGAAATGTGCGAACAGAATTCTAAGTCTAATTTTTGTGCTGGGTTTGTGTGGGGGATGTATTCCCCGCGCAAGTGTTATTTTACAGTGGAAGATGACATGAATAGTAGTTTATTGATGTCTACAAGGTCACGTATTCAATTTATCTATCCGCACAGATTCATTGATTGATCTCTATTGAAAGTTGGTATTAAGTAGGCAGGTGTAAACGATAGACTCTTAGCATGTACTGCAATTGTTTAAGTCATAAAATAATTGAACTTCCTGATATAAAATGATAAATGTCACTCTATCTCTTGTCTGAATACAAAGAAGATATTACTGTTAAAGAGGTGCTCCCTTGACAGCTGGGTCTAAAGGACGAATTCCGAAGAAATAAAATCTGAAAAATATATGTTTCCATCTTTGCATGAACAATGGTTTTAGAAATTGCATTTTTTCATTATTTTTTTTATTATGAAGATGAAATGCTCTTTTGAATATCTTGTGTATAGATCAAGATAAGATGAAGGTTGAAACTGTAAAGAGTCTATTATACTGAATTTTTTTCCCATTTTTTTTTATTCATCTAATAAAGTTTAATTTGTTTTGGCATCCACCAAGATGCTAAATGGAAAAGTTTATATTTAATTTTTTTCTGACTTGCTTCAGAGATTTTTTTAAAATGTTCACTGAACTACTGTAGGTATAAAAATAAATGGTGGGCAAATTTTTAGACGAATGCTGGGCACATTTATTCTCTCTTTGGGCAAAACGATTTACATTGTTTCTTTTGTGGTAGTGGTGTATGTCAGAAGTTGAGATTCGGGCTTGTAACTGGAAGGGCGAGTACCCCACAGGGCCACAAAGAACTGGTGAAAAAAGAAATAAAGAGTGAATAAATTTTATATCCATTTTGGAAAACTACTCCATGATTGTTTACATCTGACAACTGAATAGAATGATAACTTCTTGAGCCCTAGACCACATATGTGGGCAGTAACACTCGGCCTCACTGGAGCTCCTATGCAGCCCCAGATTTCCACTAATTAAACCCTGGTAACGTATAAACAGTTGCATCTAGGTTAACTGGATTTGCAAGATTTTCCAGGTGTTTTTGCAAATGAAAAATAATGAAATATAAGAATATTGATAAGGATGCGGGAAGGAACAAGAAACAGGAGGGTGTTTTTTTTTGTCTAATAGTCTGACACTAGTAGTTCTGTAGTAAGAAAAAGATTAAAACGTTGCATTCATTCACAACAGTGAACTACTGTACTGAGACTGCAATGCCAAGTCTATTGGGCATGCTCAGTTTATCAATTAGACTGGGTATGATGTATGAACTGATTTTTCAATATCTATAATCCTTATAAGCTAAATGCTTTGACACATTAGCTGATGCTAGTTTACATAGATGACCAATTATATATTTCAATTTTTTTTTTTTAATGTTTTTGGTCTACAGTTTAATTTTGTTCACATTTTTATATTTTTCTTTGTTCAGATAAGTTTTTCAAAATTGATTTTACAGTTTGCTTCTCATTATTAGGTCATGGATTATTTTTACTTTAATAATGTTTTATTTTTATATAAATTTTTAATCGTATAGGTATGTGAGGAAAAATGGTTTGCACATCGAAATGCATAACTTGCAATCACTTTGAGCTCCCCCTCTCCATCTTCTTTTTTAATCATTTGATTTATTTGACATTTTGTTTATTGATTTTCATCTTTTACTTTGGTTATAATCACTTCTATTTTTAGCCATTTTGCTAGATTAAATGCATGTTTTATTCAATATGTTTGACTATTAATAATTGCTTCCTATGTATCTCCAGTAATAATATATGATGTTTCTAAGCAGAGCAATCTAACAGTTATCATTGTTGCTCTTGAGGGCAGCATTGATAATTTCTCTGCTCACATTGATTTTTTTTTACTGTATGCCTCATGTTTTAATGTATGACATTACTGTTCTATACAGGGCCCATTACGAAATAGAAATACAGTAAATTGTAATACAATGCAATAAAATCTCTACTATGCTATTGATTTTTGGCATTCACCACAGGTGGGGGAACTGTTCACCACTCCTCCCACACAAGAGTCTGTTCACCTTCCCAGCATAATACATTTTGTTTTTAACTTTCCTTATGATCACAGATATGTTTAGCCTTATTTATGCTGGGTGGTATCCCTTTAAATTCTCTTGGGTAGATACAATCATAGAAAGTGTCTTGCCCCAAGATTCAGAAAGCGTGTTGCACAACAGTGGTTTTGAACCCCTGACCATAAGGTTGTAGTCTGAGCTACAACCGTTGCATCAACTGCTTCCACAATACCCATCCTGACTGAAAAACTAAGATGCATTATACTGTACAAGCAAAAACCTCTTATCAGCCATCTAGTAGTTTCAGGTGTGCATGAAGGTTGAAGTTCATGTGTAGACAATCATAGAATGTTATTTAAATTATTCAACTGTACCATAAAAATTACAACTTCATAGTCATACAGTAAAAAAATTATTTTTATTGATGATAATCAATATTGATTTATATTTTGAATCTATTATCATCATTGTTGGTTTTATATTTATGTACGTCATCATTCTATAGAATAAAGGATACAGTGGGAGGATATTATAACATTGTTGTTCAGGGATTGGGAGATAAAGTTTATTTTTGTTAGTCTTTTTGATATCCCGTCTTGTAATAATGCATCATTTTAAGTTTGGATTTACAAAGACCATTTTTTAATAAAAGTGTGTTGCTGTCGTAAAAGTGTACGTCCATAAAAATTATACCTACTTCTTGGATTGTTGTAACGTAAATAATTATAATAAAGCTAATTGAGTTCCATTTTTGTCAAAGCTTTGATTTTAACAATGCTTTTGTGGTATGTGATTTCAAATGTTAGCAGCAGCAGGATAAAGAATTGGCTGTTTTGTATGCAAGTTAGTTTATTCTTAAAGATCATTGTTGAGGGATTTGTGAAGAGTGTACAACAGTTATTTTGTCCATTGCAATAAATTTACAATAGACCAAGTTCATTTCTGGGTCTTCTCCTCTTGCTATTGTTTTACTTGACCCCATACAAAGGTCATAGGAAACTTGTTTACTTTACCATATGGAAGTGGGTTTCCTGTGTTGTGCTTTCATTGTTGTAAACAACTCAACTACCCACAAGTCTTGTCTCGCTTCTTTGTCTCTTATTAAGGAAGTTGTTGTGAACTTATCAAAGCATAATCAGTATTTATCATAATTTTTTTCAGTTTAAATTATGTGTAAATAATGCATGAATAATTTTAACTGTAATGTTATAAAATTTCAAACTAAGAAGTAGTTATAATACATTTTCTGTTTGAATTAAAGTGAAAGTGATCCAATACACATTATAATACATTTTGTTTAATCCGTAATTTTTTTAATTACCATATTTATTTTAATAAATGCCTGGCTTTGAATAAACTCTTCCCCCTCCCCCCTCGAATAAACTCCCTGTGGCATTTATTTTTCCTCAAATATGACTGTAAACATAACTAGGTAATGGCAGCAACATAGTTCTCAACACATTCTATTAATGTTCTACTTCAGTAGAGTACATGTCTTTTAACCTCTTGATTTAAATGATTATGATCATGCAATAACACATTTTGAAAGTAATTTTTGTATTTATTACAAAATGATGCATGAAAAATTGCTTCTGGTAAGATTTGTACCTACTGTACAACCTCTCACTGTCAAGGCAAGCATCATATCGCTAGACCAGCGTTCTGCAAACTTTTACTTCACAGCCTACTTAAGATTCTAGGCACTAAGCCTTGGCCCTGCTGTGCCAGAGTCCAAGTCCTGATCATAAAAATTACCTCAGTGTTCATTTGATATCATCATCTGTTCTATTAGTGTCTATTTTATTAAGATGCGTATTACCTGTATATCAATGAAGCAGTTTTACAAATCTTGTTTTTTCTCCTGGGCAACTTTATGGCCCTTCAAAAGGCTGCAGCCCTAGTTTGCAGACCATGACACTAAAGCATGGAAGCTTGTTGGTATATCACATGCTCAATCCAGCTACTCGTACAACTAATACATATATAAGCACCATTGTTACTTTTCTCTTTTTTTAAACTGTTAATTATTGCGTATTGTAATTAATTATAAAGCAGACTGTTTCACCATAATATGTTTAGAGCTGTTTCAAAACCAGTAACCTGATGTCTTGATTTAAGTTTATCAATATTTAATAACTGTAAATAATTCATAATAAAAATGTAATAAAAAAAAAGCTTCATGAATAATTGAGAGGAATTTGCATAGTTTAGACAACTAATTATGCTTCATAAAATATGTATTTTAATATTAAACAAAAAAACATTACAATTTTTAATATTCAGGTACTTCATATTTTTATATAACAACTTCTTTTTTTCATTTTCCATCAGACCAGAGCTAAGAGCAACTTTGTAGCTAAAGTGCAGATTTGTTCGAGTCCCAATGAGCCAACATTCAAGGGAACAGGAGAGGCCTAGGACCACTTCAACTATCTACCGAAGCAAGTCAGAAAATGGCACTAAAGATGTAGGCCATAATCAGGTAAATTAAATCCTTCTGGAATGACAAAAATTAACTTTCTTTTTTTTTTTTGCCATATGTTACATACTGTTCGTCTTGTGTTGTGTGAAGATGAAAGTTTGATGCTAATATTGGTTGATATTTGATCATGTGATTTCAAACCCAGTTGTTTATTAAATAGCTCCCTGTCAGTCACCACGAGTTCTAAAATTGCTGCAGGTTGATTCTAAAAATAGAACCATGATGGTACGTTGTAGCTCCCAACCCTCATACCAGGTAAACAGCTACTAATTTTTAAATGGCCATGCAGCCTGCCTGGTCAACAGCTTATAATTTTGAGTAATTAGCTAATCAGACAAGGTCAATAGCTACTAATTTTGAGTGACCATGCAGACTACTTGGTCAACAGCTAGTAATTTTTAGTAACCAGCTAATCAAACCAGATCAATAGCTACTAATTTTGAGTGGACATGCAGATGGCGTGATCAACAGCTTGTAATTTTGAGTAACCAGCTTATCACACCAGGTCAACAGCTACAAATTTTGAGTTGCCATGCAGACTACTTGGTCAACAGCTAGTAATTTTGAGTAACCAGCTAATCTGACCAGATCAACAGCTACTAATTTTGAGTTTCATGCAGACTGCCTGGTCAGCAGCTAGTAATTTTAAGTAACTAGCTAATCAGACCAGGTCAACAGCTACTAATTTTGAGTGACCATGCAGACTACTTGGTCAACAGTTAGTAATTTTGAGTAACCAGCTAATCAGACCAGATCAACAGCTACTAATTTTAAATGGCCATGCAGACCACCTTGTCAACAGCTAGTAATTTTGATTAACTAACTAATCACACCAAGTCATTAGCTAGTAATTTTGAGTGGCCATGCAGACTAATTGGTCAACAGCTACTAATTTTGAGTAACCGACTAATCAGACCAGGTCAGTAGCTAATCAATTTAAATAGCCATGCGGATAACCTGGTCAACAGATAATAATTTCAAGTGGCAGGTAGACCAGGTCAATAGCTAATCAAGTTAACTTGCCATGCAGATAATGTGGTCAATAGCTAATAATTTCAATTCATTAAATTTCTAAAAAAAATATAGGGCTGTAAACATATTTACTGTAATTCTACTCTTAACTTCACAATACAAAACTACACAAAGCCTGAATGAGAATTTAAAGACATTTACACAAATTATTTACTGTACACATTGTGTAGTTGTTCACATGCCTAAGTACAAGTTGGTAACTTGTAGAAGGGTTCAATTGTTCTTGGCTTGGTTATGAGTTTACGTAGGATGTTTATGAATGAAACTTAACACAATGATTCAACATAATTCAGTGCAAATTTATTGTGTTTTCTATATCTCAACAATAACCACTGAAGAAAGAAAAATCCTACTGAGTATGCCCATAAAACGAGGTCAGTCCTACTCGCCCAAAGCTTTCATAGATCTTCTCTCCAAACTTTTTTTAAACAACACAAATTTATATGGTGTAGTACGGAAGCTGGTTTTTTTCTGTACATTTTTTTCAAATTCTAAACCAAAATAGCTATTAAAAGTCTTGGTGTTACCAATCTATAAATAGCAACTTGGTGTTAACTTTAAAATAGTTTTCTATGCATGATATTTCCAAGTAACAACTGCCTTATTAAATCCATATGACAATAGCTATCAGTATAGTTAGTTACCAATCTATAAACAGTTAAAGTGATAATCAACAGCTCATTACCAATCTCCACACAGACCAATAAATCAACAGCTTACAGTGATAGTTAATAACTTTCAGTTAATATTCTCCAGCTACTGGGTCAACAACGAAAAGTTTAAATACTGTGTTTGACTTATTTTTGACTGATAATAGTGACTGAAGCAGTTGCTAAGGTAAGCAACTAATTGGTTCAAGAAAACATAATTTTTCTACTGACAATTTACTAATAGCTGTTAGTTACAAAATCTTCGCCCAGCCAGACTATAGGTCGTCATCATCTGCTCTCTGCAAGTTTTCGCAGAAGTCATACCAACATTCAGTTATACCAAAAGATAGTATAATACATACTCCAAGTATCGAAATGCACGCCATGTTGGGGTTCAATATCTCGACATTACTTATGTCATCATCAGGAATCATATTTTATACCAAAACTTCAGCACCTTTACAAGAATAGCCAGAATAGCAGTTATTTTTAGACCAATTAGCCAATAGCTTTCAGTTACCAATTTCTACACAGACCAATGGGTCAGCAGCTTAAAAGTTGCAATAGCAATTTAGACCAATGGGCAAACAGCTTAAAAAGTTGCCAGTCCAGCAATTTAGACAAATAGGTCAGCAGCGTTATAGGTTTCTAGTGTCTGCAAGACCAATGGATCAGCAGCTTGAAAGTGATACCAGTCTAACAATTTTGACCAATAGGCTGATAGCTATAGTTTTCAATTTTCAGACCAACCAATGAGTCACCAGTTGTAAGTTGTCTGTGTTTTACCTACTGACCAATGGTTCGACAACTTTCAATTATCTATCTATGCTGTAGTCCAGTTGGTCAGCGGCTTTTAGTAGCTACACTGTAGTTCCAAAGGCTTCATTTACAATATATTTTCATGACTTATGTAATAGAAATTAGTTTTTACAAATCATAATTTGGTAAAAATCACTTAATGTATTGATGTAAAGCCAAATGTGATATGATTGGTTAATGATTACTAGGACACATTTTATTTCAGGCTACAAAGTGTTGGGTTCAGAAACGATTTGTGAAAGTTTAAGCTAAGGATCGTTTAAGCTAAGGATTGCTTTGTTAAGATTTGTAATGTCAAACAATTGATGTCAGTATATCAATACCTGGGGGCTTTGTTGAATACGAGTGACTTCCCCTGAGGTCAAGTCTATAGCACAATAACAGACTTATAAAAACTATTAATGCGTTAACAAAACAGAGAAGCTTTAGAATAGTTTAGCCTGGGGAAAGGGGGTTTGTCTCCTTATAAACAGTTCATATGTGTATGAAAAGGGTACAGTCGCTCTTTGAAGCTAAATTCCAACCTTTTTCAATTAAATGTTTAGGAATTCACTAATCTTTTATTTAAAAAAAAATCTTGTTGGTTTTTGGAAAGACAATAATGTAACTCATAGTACAGGATGGTTTTAAGGGGTAATTTTTACACCTATAAATATTTAAAATATAATTTCAAAAATGAAAATAAAACTAATCTATGCTGAATCTTTGTTTTTTGTCGTCATTTATTATGATGTTTCCTCTATTTTATTTTATGACATTTCTGCCACATTCACTCAGAGGTCATGACCTCAGCCATCAATCAACATCATTCAAATCATTTTTTAAAACAAAAATGAGAATTTTTTTGAAAACTTATCATTTTCAATTAAAGAGATATGACACATGAAAACAAATGGTTAATTTAAAAGGTTAAAGTGTAAAGCTCTTTCCAGATTTTCTGGACACACCCCTCAACCATCAATCAAAATTTTTAAAAGTACAGGAAAAAAATGTACTCTAAGGCAATAATCTAAATTAATAGATACATAAAATCAATTAAAGATTTTTTTGATCTCTTATAATTTAAGAGAATAATTCAATTTTTTGATAATTCTTTGGCGTACATAAGTCTGCCTAGAATAAAGAAATTCCCCCTAAGAACATTATACAGTAACTCTATAAGGAGTATCAGAATCGTGACATTCAGTAGGCTAAGAATAATAATCCCTTAATTTGCCGTGGAGTTTTATATAATATAATTATATATAATTTTATATTTATCTTGAATAAAAGAGAAAATTAATAATTCAACCTTTTAAAAAACTGAATTATAACATTATGTCCATGTAGGAGTGTTACATTTCTCATGTATTGGTCTTTTGTTTATATTTCCCCAATGACTAATAATGTGGCTTATGAATTAGTTTACTTTTCACAATCTTTTATATTGTTTCCTGTATTGGATGAAGAAAAGTTTACCTTAAGTAAAGTCATATTGATCAATCCTGAGATTGATAAAAATAGATGGTTGTTTGAATCCATCATCAACAATCCATCATCAGCAATTTCTTCCAATTATACAAACGCATGATGTCAATATAGCATCTGCCTCAACTACTAGTAGAAGATCCAATTTTAGTCATTTTCAATGTTTCATCAACAATCATACTAAAGACCATAAAAAAACTCCTTAAGCACATCCACTGTCTTGTTTTTTCATACTCAAGAGAAAAAAAAGTATTTTTATATTTTTTCCCAATGAACATCTCAAAGAAGTTCAGATTTTGCAGTTCTCCTTGACATTTGGCTTGTCATTCTTATGCAACTCACCCAATCAGATCAAATGTAATTGGGCCACTTTTACATTTGTGGCACCTGTCTAGAAAAAAATATTAAGAGGTGATTTAATTTGCAGGAAATTTTTGCTTGCACATATGAGTGCACCAATTTTTTTAAACTCTTGCGAGTTGGAGGAATTGGGTCCTGTGTTATGTGTGTCTTGTGTTTTGGTATTTGGTGCCAGGATCCAGATTTGGATGTAATGTAATTGTAGTTCGATTTATATCGGAATCTCAAAGTGCAGGAGTTGTGGGCTAGTTTGTACAGTAACTTTCTTCTCCCCTGAGGGTCTCTTCATGTCTGAGCAGCCAATTCTACCTACCGGTAAGTGATCAGCTTCGGTGACAAATAAAATGCTGATAACTGGTGACAGCACCAGTCATCAATCATCTGATCAGAATCTAGTAGTCGGGTTTGATGACGGCATCATGAATGGGGATGTCACCGAAACTGATCTTTATCAGATCTATTAGGTAGAATCAAGTGTCTGAGCTACCTGGTAGTGGTAAACCGGTACCAGCTACTCTTGTCTGTCCACAGCAGGGGCTGAATGGACCAGTACACCGAGGTAACCCTACTCATCTTGACAGATGTACTGGGTTCTTTAAAGTGCCCACGAGCCAAATTATATATACTGGTACTATGGTTTATAATCCTTATCCGAGAAGACTTGTTCTAATTCAACCTACAGAACGGAGCTTGCCGTTTAAAACCCACACCC